CTGACTGTCTTGTGTCTCCTCTGCAGGGAGAGTTCAGGTCCAGGATCAAACAGGGGACATCAGGAACAGAAGCAGCTCCATTGATCCGACTCCTCTGATGGCTGATCAATCAGTTTGATCTGTGTGTTCTTTGATTATTGATCAGTGATGTCAGAGTGGAGTCAGTGTGATGTTGTTGTTTGTGACTCAAATCTCCTGAAGCCGAACAAAAACAGACTCACAGGTCTCATGCAGAGAAAGAGACGGTCCTTTGAAGTGATACAGTACAAATGCTCAACCTACCTCTATGAAATAAAACAATAAAAAATCTCAGCTGTTTCAGAAAGGCGCTCTTCTGGACAGAGCTCTCAGATGTGGTTCCTGGAATCTGCTGGAGCCACTCGCCAAGCATGGGAGTCACCACACCGAGTGCTCCCACTACCACTGAGACCACTGTTACCTTCATCCTCCACATCTACTCGAGCTCTTCTCTGAGCCCTTGGTACTTCTCCAGCTTCTCATGTTCCTTCTTCCTGATGTTGCTGTCATTCGGTACATCTATCACTACGGACGTCATCCTCTGTTTGTCCGACACTCCTATGTCAGGTTGGTTATTCCAGTCTGTATCTGTAATACACAGATTAGAAGTTGTTGATCAAAGCAATTTCTTGTAAAGTTGCAGATCTGGTTTTCTTTATGAAAGTTATTCTAAAGAAAATGAAATTGGTCACAAACCTGATAGTTAACAAGCACAGATGTACAAGATGTTTTAAGGAGATACCAAACCAGGAAGGAGATGCTGTGAACCAGCTGTGGTCAATAGTCTGCATGTCTTGATGATTTTGGAGTTTTTAAATATTTATTTCAATTTTTTTTTCAGATTTGATTAATTGTACAGGTTATCTCTTTATTGCCTTTAAAAAAATCGAAATCAAATATATACATACTCAACCATCACCAGGGCTGGACTGGGACAAAAAATCGTCCCGGGCATTTTGACTAGAGACCGGCCCCCCAGGTATTATAGGAAAAGCCATAAAGCCTTTGAATGAAAACAAATGTTGTTGTCACAGTGATGCACACTGTCTTGTTGGTACATATGTATCAGTCTAATAAACTTAAACCTACACCATCCTCCCTGTTCTGGTATTCTAAACAGTACCTGAAAGTAGACTGTTGGTCGAGTTAACCTCCTGAACTATCTACAACACATGGTGAAAACCTGAAATTAAGACAGAGGAGAGGTGAGACATGATCATTACTGATTACTGATGACAGATTTAGATATACTTTCATAAACCATTCATTTGCCACATCAATATACAGCATGGCAGGGCA